TTAATGCGATGTGCTTGTAAATTGTAAAATTGTTTGTGTGAAACATACTTTTATGTAAACACATTTATAAGTATAATAAAATGTATACATATATTTTATATCAATTATTTTTAGATTACAGCAACAACAATCAGTAAAACGTGTTGGTGGCTGTTCTTATCTGTACGTTAATCTAAAAAGTCGGAAATATGCATCAGGATTCACCTGATGCCAAAAAGCCCTGCAAAGGCATATTAAAAACATCACGTAGTTTTGATAAACCAAATGCCAGGTAAATTATATGTAGTTAATATTTAATTAAAAAAATGTGAATCAGTTTTATTTCTAAAGAATTGCTATCTCATTACTGCAGAAATGGTTAAAATTATTTTAATATGCACTTATTTTTTTATTTTGTGTTAAAACAAGAACTTAATCTATAAACTATATAATACGCTTAATTTTATATTTAAACTATAAACATTTATTTTATCATTTTTAAAATATGTTTCTTGAACAACAAATTTGTTTAGGAAATGTAACAAATCTCTGTAGATCAACTAAAATTACAAAAACTGCTTTGTTATTTTTATATATAGTTTACTTACTTTTTAATTTAATTATACTGAATGCGTTGCTGCATCGAAATTTGATAAGTTTATGTATAAAGGATTTATTAAGTCTAATTAAAACACAGTATGAAAGCTACGTAGGAAAGAGGATTTAAAACATGAGTCGGTATTATGATGTCGTTTGTCTGTATAGTTTTTATCTCAGAGCCACTCGTCTCTTATTCCCGTCTGTCTGTTTGTACAGATACAAGTCATTAGTTATTGTACAGTGAAATTCCTCTAATTTGAATAGTCAAGGTGACAGCAAAAAAGTTAGAGTTAGGGAAAATTCGTATTCAGTTACATTTACTTTCCAAAGTATTTAATGAATATACACACGTAATTGTATTGAATTGGAATATATCATCCGGTGCGTCTTGCTCTAAAATGGATAAGTGCTCAAATTTCTTGATCGCATCTTTATTTGCGGCAATTGTGTCTGTAAACTGCTTTATCTTTTCTCTAATAATACTACCCAATAGAGGTAGATATTTTGTTCTTGCAGTAATTATCCATTGTAACAGCTTCACCCACGTCATCTTATTTACATATTGTATTCCGTTGACGTTTATTATTACAGAACTCTCTTTTTAAGCTGTCCTAATTTTTTAAAATAATTCCATATTTTTCGGCTATATCTTTTTTCTTTTTGTCACCTTTTTCTACTTCAATAATTAAATTAATTTTTTCCGGGATTGTCAAACATTTTAAATTTGTTTTACTCATGTTTGTGATTGAAAGTCTACTGCTTCACTGATAATAAGAACAACTCCATCTTCGTATTAAGGAAATTTACAATAATAAGAGCTGTTGTTAGCCATAATAGTATCGCTGAAAGTTAGAATCCAATAATGTCGCGTAAGTTAGAAAAATAACTGACAAAAGTATTGGAAGATATAAATCGAAACAAAAAATTTGAGTTGTGGAGATAAATTTAAAGGGAAGTGCTAAAATGCTATGTGAATTTTTACTTCGAGTTACGGAAATATTTGAGTTAGGGAAATTTGACTTATGGAGAAAAAAATACAAGGAAGAATTGTTGAATATTCAACAATTCTTCCATAGGAGTTCGAGTACATAGGAGTTCGAATTTCATTGTATATTATATTATTTTCAAAAATTTCAAACAAATTTTACAACAATCCATATAGAGATCAAATTAACTATCTATTTCATATAGTATATACTATCTTCCGGAAATGATCTTTATTTTAAAGAGTATGTGCACATTACATAAGTACTTTGTTCATAGTTAAAAAATTTTTTTTCTTCTAAGTTATTTGTACACTGCTATCTTTGTAAACGATACTAATACTTCGATAAACTCCAAGCGATTTTTTCTAATTGTTTTTGGAAAGAAATGAGTAACTACTTAAATTCAGATATAAATATACGGAAATTCCCGAAAAGATTATAAAGAATTTAATAGGTTACATATATTTAGAATTGTTTTTCTTGTTTTTAATATTTGCGGTTGTTCATTTATACATTTATACATTATATATATAATTACTTATGTCACCAAATTAGTCATGTAAACTTAAGCAATATTTAAACTTACTGCAATTTATTTCAAAAGTCTTCTATTAAAATATTGCAAAATTGATTTAATACTGGCTTAAATATATCTTCTATGCAGTAAAATTAAAACACATGTAAAAAATCAGTTGAAAACTCTTTAAGCTGTTATATACAAAAAATTGATTATACGTGAAATTTATATTGTGTCACTCAAACTAAATATCTATTCTAGTGATGAAGAAATGGAATTATAGCTAATAAAATGGTTTAATATTGTTGCTGTTATTGTGATAGCCCGCAGAGATCTGCCTGCAAATTCTCTTTAGTTGGTAGTGAACGGCCCTTGGTTGTCGTGGTTTATGACTGGTTTCGCGTTGTAGACCCGGCTGTTCTTGGAATACTTTCATATTGTCAACATATGTGGTTTTAAGAAGAAAATACTTCTGTTTCAAATCGTTCCAAAATAAGTTTATTAAGTGACAAGTGACATCATTGCATTTTTATACCTTTCAGATATCATAGTATGTTTCCACCGTGTTTATAGTTAGTATATCTTACTAAGTAAATTACATTAATCATACAATGAGCTTCCATGCTTTTTAATTTACTTAAAAATAAAGTAAAGAAAATTAGACTAAAAATGTCGAAACCAATCCTTAAAAAAATTCCCATGACAATTACTGAAATTTGAAATATTTATCATATGTTTTATATGTAAAATATAAACAAACTACATCTATAAACAAACGTACAAAGAAAGTGAGTATTTAATAAAATTATTGTTTTCATTTATTGCATACGTTATACTTTTATAATATATACATATAAATGATTCAATATATCTTATATATATATATATATATATATATGTATAAATGTTTTAGGTGATATATTAGCTTCTGAAACAAACAGAAGCTCTCCTAGAACTTTCAAAGTTCAAACTTTCTTAAAGTTACTTAAGTAACTTACAAAGTAAGCAGTGGAAACATGGTATTACGATTGTCAAAATGTTTGTAACACAAGGAGGTAGACTACTAAGGGCTTTTAAGTTTTATAAAAGCTTGATCAGTTTGATGAGATAAACTGTTCTACTTTAAATCAAGTTCACAGTTTTAATATAGATTTCTAATATTTCTCTGATGTTTTTTTGTGAAGAATGAATGCCTGCACATGTATATCCACTCACCATCGATCTGTGATATTTTCTCATTAAAAATATTACTTTGGTCTCCCTTCAAGTGAAGGAGTAGGAATATGGCTCGGCTACGTCTATGCGTAATCCTATCTTTTCCACAAATTTTTTTCAGTGAATTATTAAGGAATATATCCCGTGTGTAAAAAATGATGTGATAAATACATTCAAAAAAGTTATATTTAGTTTTCCATTTGAATGTACTTTGGTGTTCTATTTCTCAATCTCAGAAATTACAAAAATTTACAGCAATTTTCTTTGCAATGCTTTATTTTCATTCTTTCGTTATTTATTGGATAATTGATGATCGGTAGATCATCATCTTTTGTACCATATTTTGTATTTCTTTTTATTATTATTTTATTTATTAATGTAAGTTAAAGTGATTAATCTTAACACCTCGGCAACTGATGAAATTCTTGAAACATAAATGCGATTTTTTTATAAATGTAAAAATCATTGTTTTGCATTTAGTTATCGCAAAAGTGCCAAGTTCGATGAAATAAACGTGCTTCAAACATATCATCCAGTCGATAAGGACTATGGACATATGAAAATAGATGAACCAAAAACTCCGTTCAATTATGTTGATCCGGAAGAAGGTTTAAATGAACAACTTGATGCTGATTTGTTAGCAGAAAAGTAAGTGTGTTAAATTAAACAAATAAATTTAAATATATTTTAAACTGATTCCATTTTATATTCTTTAGATTACGTGCAGCCGCTAATACTCAAACTCCTTCCTTTGGTCAAGATGATCTCTCAGATGAAGAATTTCCGGAAACTGAAAGTGAAAGAGGTAGATAGTTTTTGATTCAAAATATTATATATTATTAACATATTTGTTAATTCCTTTTAGTGCGTCGCTTAGAATTTGAACGCCGTCGTAAGGCTCATTACAATGAGTTTGAAGCAGTTAGGCTTGCTAGAAAATTAATACAGGAAGAATTGGGTGATGAAGACGAAGATGAAGACGATGGAGATGTTGAATCGCAATCAGTATCTACAATATCAAAAACTAAATCTGAACCTGTAGGCAGTGAAAGTACTCGCAATACTCGTCAAGTTTCTTCCTCTGAAGTTTGTTCTATAACAGATGATTGCGCCGACAATGCGAATACATGCTCCTGCAAACCCAAAGCAACTGGTAAACCAATGGAGATTGATCAACCGGAGTAGTAATCCCAGAGCCAAAATAGTCATGAAAAATACTATTTTCAACATAGAGAAACAAAAGAATAGGAAAATGACGTGATTTTTTAAATTTATATATCGAAAAGTTTTTTAAAAAAGAGTTATCCGCAATTTAATGAAATAATTAAAAGAAAGAAAAAAATGAACAAAATATATTTTATGTATTTAAATACAGCTGAATATGGTGTTGTAACACTTATATGTGAGTTAAATTTAATTTAAATTACAAGTTTTATTATATTAAAATAAAATATCATAACATGTATAAGTAAAACAAAAATTCACAGATATATAAATACTAAATGCTTTAGAAAATTTATAACACAAAAAAAAAACAATCCAAAAGAAATTACATATTAATCTATTGAAAGTCGTAAACTGTTAACACCGACATGGAATTGCATTTATCATAAACAAATTACAAATTATATTGTTTTATCTTATATGATTTTAAGTGAAACTATGCGACACTTGTTTAATGAACAAGTTACTCTTTAAATTTTAAGTGCCACATTAATCATACTTCGTTACTATCTTCAGCTATTTATGAAAAAAATGTATAATTATTAAATTTGATTTAATATAATGATAAGTTTTAGTTATGTGAAAATTATGTAGCTTCCGAGCCATTTATGTAAATTTCATTTAATTTAGAAAAAAAAATGACTCATGAATTTTATTGACTGATTTCAATTCACGAATTATGAAATGCATTCATACATAATTACATAAATTTTCATCATGTCCAACATGTAGAAATTATAATCCAGTTAAGAATATAATTAAAATTACTTAATAATACGCAATTGGTTAATAAAGCATATTAAACGAAAATCATACATTTAATAAATATTCGGTGTAGTTTATAGTATCTATTATTTGATGTATGATAGATAAAGAGAATAATCAAATTGTCTCACAAATAAATAGAAAATAAATAATACGCGTAATTCTATTATTTTTAAACCTGCTAAATGATCGTTTATATACATGAAGAAGTTTATCTGCTTTTGGAATAAAAGCTAAAAATATTAATTAATCGTCGAAGCATATATTTTGATAACCAACGTTGTACAAAACAAACGACTCTTAAATTTTGAAATTTGACCAATTAATTGCAGTTCTTTCTACAATGTAATAACGTATCGTCATTTACATACAAACTATAAATTAAATAAGAAATGTATTAAAGTGGAGAGAGTATAAAATAAACCATATACGATAGAAATACTGCAAAGAGCTCAAGCAAACATTCTAAGAATGATAACTAGTGCACCCTGGTATATCAGCAATGAAAACATACATTTCCATGTGGAAATGCCGATGGTTAAAGTAGAGTTCGAGAGAATAAGGCAAAAATACGATTTAAATTACCGCTGCTCTATGGGTTAGAGCACCCGGTTGAATAATGGCAAGTTCATGTTGTGTAAAATAATAAATGGCAACATTCTTCCTTCGTATTGTTCATAGCCATATCGACACTGTTACGGACCGATCTCAGCGTTCGCCCAACATTTGGATCTGGCACCTAGATCTTGAATTACCATATTTCGTTTAAGTTGGGACATCGGCAGTGAAAACCCATTTGCTATTAATTACACTCTAAAACAATACCCCTTTTCTGATTTGCAAGTAGGAATTTCAAACTTAATACAGATGAGACTAGTGATTTTTACAATCAATCAATAAATACGGAGAGAGAAAATAGTATTTTGCAGTTTTGTGATTGCAGTTTGTCAAAGAAGGGATGCATTGCCGAGGATTTTAAATGCTTAGATCGAGACAGTATGATATCATGATTATCATATATTTGTCCATAGGTTAATAGTTATTTAATTTCAGTTTGAAACCTCTATAAATTTTTGACTAACTCAAGCTTGTCACTAAAGATTTGAAGATTCAAGAGTACAGGTTGCAGAGGATGTCTCGCTAAAAAAACTAGGCAAAGATTCCAAAGATATTAACGACAATTCAGATATACCACATATACCACTAAAAGAACATAAATATTCATTTCCATTTAAAGATGTTTCGAAAACGGAAAAGATTGGTAAGATTTAAGTCAAATACATAAGCTACAATAGGCCAAGTTTGAGAAACAGATAATGGATTGTCTTCAGTTTTAGCCAAGCTGAAACAATAAAACTAAGGTTTCTAAGTCCTTAGAGAATAATATCGGGAAATATGATTCGAGACCAAAATCACAAATATAAATACTTATATAAAAGTAATTAAAAAGTAAGTATCGTTTGATAAATAAATCGTTGAAATTATATGTATATTCTAACTAATCTTTTTATAGGTCATTTAACAGCACTTGTATTGAAGTGCCGAAAACATATAAAACCGAAATTCTTTTCACTGCTCATAGTAATGTTGTATTAAAAAACAAGCTTAGCAGATCAGTGATCAGTGCTTAATACGTAAAGATTAATTATGATGACAGGCACAAACATGAATATCTACGATTTCAGGTGAGTGAGAAAAAACTGTAAATGAGTCTCTTTATAAATATGATAAATATTTGCAAAATATACAGCACTCGTAAGAACATAGTATTATCTGTTTTACGAGCAACTCGTAGTAAAGTTCGAGCAAACGAGAGCGTAAGGCAAATTAAGTATTATTTTGTGCTCTTAACATAAAATTTCATACAAAAGCTTTGTGTAATTTATGGTGTAAACAACTGTGGATAAACAAGACAACATTTTTAAGCTTAAATTCAAAAAGTTCAAACGTTTTTTTTTATTTGTTGCTTTTTTTGTAATTTCACATTTTATACATATTCCAATTTAATTCTCATTTAAAGCAACAAAATAAAACAACTGAATGTACATTTTATTAGAAAGTAAATGATTTAAGTAGACTGTATATCATTATGGTATTTTGATAGAAATTTTACGTCCCCTCAGGCGCTCTCTTTAGGCTGAAAATTTGCATGTGTAACCCACTTCTGTATATTAATAGTTAGTCGAAGTTATTATGAGTAGCTCGTGAAACTGATCTTATTTAACCTTTATCAGCGTATAATACAATTATACATACACATAGCCAATAAAGACTGCGTACACCTTGCGAATTGATATTTACATGTAGGGACACTTTTATCCCGTTATCTCAAGAATGAACAAACGAATACAATTTTTGTATTTTGCTATTTAAACTTTAGATTTTAAAGAATGTAAAAATTTTAATTTAAAATATTTATGTTGTGTTTCTTTATTACACATCAAAATTCGTAAGGTGTACGCAGACTTTATTGGCTATGTGTATATACCAATGCATATCCAGTACATTTTAATTCTCAACAACAGCTATTATTTCTTCGTTGGAGAGAGTGAAAGAAAGTGAGAGATAGGCAGAGAGCGAAATAGAGGCAGAGAGAGAGAGAGAGAAAGGCAGAGAATGAGAGAATGTCAGAGAGTGAGATGTAAAGAGTGAGAGACAAAAGGATAGAAAGAGGGGAAGGGAGAGGGAAGCTATATGTGGCAAATAGACACAATGTTTTTTTAGCAACATGAGAATTATCTATATCGATACCTATTGTTTGACAGCTGAGAATGTCAAGCTTCTCTTTTTTGTTTAGTAAACTTTCATTATTTATCATGAAACGTTAAAAAAAATGAATCTGTTCGCGAAGTTCATAGAGTGTATAGTGTTTAGTGATGAAGCTCATTTCTGATTAAATAACTATGTCAATAAGCAAAATTGACATTTATGGAGGAAAGGTAATCCTCAAGTCGCTAACGAGTCATTACATTCATAAAAATTGACTGTTTATTGCGGTTTACACGCTGGGGGCATCATCCGTCCTTATAACGTTCAAAATGATAAAGAAGCTGCGGTTACGGCGAACGCTAGCGAGCCATACTGACTGCATTTTTGTATCCAAATATAAGTCAGTTAAACTTTGACGACATTTGGTTTCAGTTTCCACAAGACTGCTCGACTTGCCATACAGCGCGTTTAACAATCAATTTATTTCGAAATCAATTTGGTGACAACTTTATTTTAAGGAGTGGTCTAGTTAATTGGCCGTGCATTGCTTCGTTCGTGCGAATTAATGTCTCTCAATTACTTTTTATAGGGCTATTCTGTCATTGGTTTATGTCGACAAACCAGCCACTTTTGAAGCATTGGAAGCCAATGTTTGTGTCGCCATTGACGCCATATGGCCATTTCTATTCCAAAAATTAGTCAACAATCGGATTGATCGAATGGACCATGTAAGTCGTAGCCACGGAGGATATATGTAATGGAAATCATATTAAAAAAATTTGTCAAAATGATCAATGGGATCTGAACATTGGTTCAGTACAGCAGAACAATCATTACTTAATATCTGTTAAGTACAATTTAGCAATAGAAATAAATTAACAAATAATTAAGATTGTACTATTCATAGCCAATAAAGGATGTTTAAAAAAAAACAAAAAAAAAATTAACTACCAGATTATAATAAAAAAAATTTCATTCCCACGATATTTCTGTCTTGTATTATCATTTTAAGTTCTCATGTAGCTAAAAAAACACCCAATAGCCGAG